TTTCTTATATTAACTCTTTATTAAAGTAAATAAATCTGCACAAAATGTTGCTGTAGAAGGATAATGGATATAGAATGATCCGTATCGTCTCACTCGTCGCTTCAACTTCAAGCTTGTAACCATGCCAACATCTCTTCAAGGACTAGTCTCCTAAATCCATGGTGGGCAGAAAAGCTCTTTAAAGAGTCCTTCCATATCAAACAGTCAACAGTGACTTTTCTCCACCCCGAGTGTTTGCAGCATTCGACTACTTTTCTCATGTGCAGCATTTTGAAACTGTTAGTCTCTCTTTTTCATTTTTGTTTTCGTAACTACGTTGCCTACTGAAATGAATGTCACGTACATCACTCTTGACGGTCACGTAGAGGTGGATAAATACCGATATGTCTACTTCATTATCATGTTTACAGGTTATGTTTTGATCCTGTCCTTCAATTCCACAGTGTTTTGCCTGATTGTGATCCACAGAAACCTCCATGAGCCCATGTATGTTTTCATTGCTGCTCTGCTGATGAACTCCATGCTTTTCAGCACCGTGGTCTACCCCAAGCTTTTGATCGACTTTTTATCTGAAAAACAGATCATAGCTTATGAAGCGTGTATCCTTCAGACTTTTTTATTCTACTCTTTAAGTGGTTCAGAATTTTTACTTTTGGCTGCAATGGCTTATGACAGATATGTGGCCATATGTAAACCTCTGCAATATCCAACCATGATGAGAAAAACAAAAGTGAGGAGCTTCCTCATCTTAGCATGGCTTGTGCCTGCCTGCCATTTAGCTGTGGGTGTGATTATATTTGCTCATTTGAAACTCTGTCACTTCACTTTGAAAGGCATTTTTTGCAACAATTCAGTGAATTATCTTCTCTGCGTGGCTTCAAGAGCGATAATGATCTACGGTTTAGTGATTTTATTCAACGTTAGCCTTCTTCCGGTGGTTTTTATATTGTTTACTTACACAATGATATTTATAGTGGCCTATAGAAGCTGTGGGGAAGTGAGGAAAAAAGCTGCACAGACATGTTTGCCTCACCTGCTGGTTTTAATCAACTACTCCTGTTTGCTCACCTATGAGATGATTATTGTCGTTTAGAATCTGATATTTCAACAACTGCACGTTTCATAATGACATTGCAAATAATAATCTACAATCCTCTTTTTAATCCAGTCATATATGGACTGAAAGTGGGAGAAATTCACAAACACCTGAGGCGCTTGCTCTGTCACACCAGAGAAACATAAACGTGGCTTTAAGCTTTCATAGTTTCTGTCTTTAGTTTTCACTCCGCTTTGTTTAAGTGATAACGTTTGTCTTTTTAAAATCTGCAGGTAATGTTTTACTGTCAAAGAGTACCAGTGTTTCTCTGATTCATCGGAAAGCTTATTATGTGCCTGCTCGTCGTTCTTTCTCAAGTTTTATTTCAAAGCCGGAGACAAAACGTTCCACTGTTAAGAAGACACCTTTAGCAGCTCAATCTGACGTTCTACACAGCTCAGGAAAAGACACTCTGTCATTTCAGCTTTCATTGTTTCACATTTTACTTTGTGTGGAAATAAATTTCAACATGTGGAACAATTCTTTATTTTGAATGCCTTAAAAAAAAAAAAAAGCATTTTATTAGCCACCACTTTGTCTCAAACTGTTATTTTAGACTCTGTGACTATTATTGACACTGATAAGAATGAGTCTTTGTAATCTAATATATAGTATAAAAATTGTTGAAGTGATTTATCTCCTACGAAGGTAGAGAAATGACTTTCAGTCTCTTGTGCTTTTGCTGTTTTTTATTTTGAATAGATTTTTAAAACTTTCCAAATATTTGAATTAATATCCATCCTTGTTTAGATTTTATCTTATATTGACAAAAGGTATTGTTTAATATTTACTACCAAAACAAAACTACTACTAGAAAATGTCTTCTTCTCACTTAGACAAAAATATTTGCTGCATATATTAACGGCTGTGTTAAAAGTGTGCTGTCTAATGTTATTGTAAAAGAGCTTGTTTTTTTATTTATTTTTTTAAACAAGAAAATTTGTCACGTTCCCTGAACTTTTCACATTTTGAATGAACTCAAACCAACAGAACACCTGTGTCGGTCATCAAGGGGATTTTTCAGACTAAAATCTATCAGAAACCTTCATTTTTTAAGAACTTATTTTATAGGAAGTAATGATGTATGTAAAATATGACGGTATTGCAATTAAAATACTGACACGTTGGTTAAAGCTGCTGTGAGTAACTTCCATAAAAAGATCTTTTCTACATATTTGTCATGAGAGTCTGAGACAGATATTCTACAAAAGGATCAAGCTCCTCCCTGTGCTGCTGTTGCTGTCTGACGAAAAATGAATGAAACATCAAGGTGAATTTCTCCCTGCCTTCGAGATGAAGCCTCCACAGGGCTGTGGTTTTTAGGCTTCTGCCTCACAGAGCAGCTCTCTGCCGCACTCCTGACTAGCTCCTTCAGACTAGCCAGCAGCAATTAGCAAACACCTGTCAGAAAAGAACATTAGAGGAGCTGCTTCTCAGTGCAACACTGGTAAAATGTTTCTAAAGGAATAAAAGAGTAGACGGAAGCTCAATTTTAAGGCATTAAACTACATAGTTAAATTTCTCTTAAGGCATATTTGATATATATTTAACATTTTTCTGACACCTGAAGGTAACACAGTTTCTTGATTGTGCTATAAAATGTCACTTTGTGTGTGGAAAACAAGTATACCCCCAACAGACCCTGGCCACCCCTAGAGCCACCCCACTGGAAATGGTAATTTTAAATATAATACTTATGAGATCGGCAAAGATTTGCCAGGAAAACTGTAATTTCCGACTGTCCCTGAAGGCAGCTCGATGTCCGACGCTGTTCATTGGTTAAACCAGTGCTTCTCAATTATTTTCCGTTACGCCCCCCCTAGCAAGAAGAAAACTATTCGCGCCCCCACTCCCCACCGTGACTATCCATCTCTGCATAACATTTTTTCCTTATTAACATTTTTTTTTCGCTGAAAAAACTCTAGCGGCTTATCGGCGTGATTGGGATGTAACGTATTTAAGTGACGCGCTAATTTATTTGGCTTCATGCTGTCCGCTGCGAGCATTTTTAGACACAGCAAACACACCGGTCTTTCCTCTTCTCCAACTGTAGTCACAGTGAAGCCAAGCGCTAAATACGCTTCGTCGTATTTCCTCTTCTTAGCTTTCGGTTGACTTTCTGTTGTCTCATTATCTTTGTCTCTCTCCGCTTTTCTTTTCATCCCTGTGAAAAACTTTTTCATGTTGGGGGTTGTTGAATAACGGAGGCCATAGACAGAACGCTTTATACTAGTACGGCCAAAAAAAGCCTGTTCCCCAGGATCACACGCACCCCCCAAAGGGGGCCCGCCCCACTATTTGAGAAGCACTGGGTTAAACTGACATGTGGGTTCTGCTTGATCCAATACACATCAACGGCTTTAGAGTACATTGTGGAGGAGTTTTGCAGGTATTTCCATTTCACCGCTCAGCGGTAACCGCTGTTACCTTCCTAATGAGAGGCGGCACTTGTCATACATTTCTAAAAAGAAAAAAAAATGGTTGTGTACCGCTGCGTAGTGCCTCGTTTATTATATTAGCCATGCTAGTGCTGATAGATCGTGTTTTAGACAGATTCTTTTAACATATGTTTTAGTGACATGCTGCCCTGTAATGTTTTCTATCTCCCAGCTCTTGCTTGAAATGTGTGGTAATAATATGTGAAAAACCATTAAGTTTTATAATGACTGAAATGTAAGTAGGCTATGTCATATGAAAGCTTTGAATTATAACCTAACTAGTTATATTAATTAATTTTAATTAATGTATTTTTAATTTAGTATTTTAGCTAACTACAGAAACTAAAAACTATAGTTTAAATAATAGTTAAAATAGTGTTGTCTCTGCCAAACAGTCATGGAGTGTAAATACCAGGCTCTTATTTTGTGTAGAGCCAAAATGAAGAGAAAAGGAAAGATCGCCCAGTTCTTCTTAAAGAGGCAAAAACTAGGACCAGAAAGAACCCTGCAGCAGTGACCAGGACCAGACAGAACCCTGCAGCAGGGACCAGGACCAGACAGAACCCTGCAGCAGTGACCACAGGACCAGACAGAACCCTGCAGCAGTGACCAGGACCAGACAGAACCCTGCAGCAGTGACCAGGACCAGACAGAACCCTGCAGCAGTGACCAGGACCAGACAGAACCCTGCAGCAGTGACCAGGACCAGACAGAACCCTGCAGCGGTGACCAGGACCAGACAGAACCCTGCAGCAGTGACCAGGACCAGACAGAACCCTGCAGCAGTGACCAGGACCAGACAGAACCCTGCAGCAGTGACCAGGACCATACAGAACCCTGCAGCAGTGACCAGGACCAGACAGAACCCTGCAGCAGTGACCAGGACCAGACAGAACCCTGCAGCAGTGACCAACCTGGAGAATCCAGCCAGGAGACTCCAGGCCCAAGTGTATCACCAGCGGGTTAGAGGCTGTGACAGAGAGTTATTAAGTAGTAAAATCCAATAAGCCTAATTCTAAAGGTTAGCATGATGCTTTTTGCATTTTTTATTGTGTCTGTTTATGCATTTCCAATTAAGTTCCAGAGAGAGATGAGGGTGATACAGATTCAGTCAGACTCTGGGGAGGAAGACAGTGAAGCAGAAGGAAATGGCACTGAACTCCCCCCACCCAGCACAACCTATTGCACGCCAAAAGCACCAGTTTATTTATTGTTGAGAATTTGTTTTTGGTCATATTCTGGGCTCTGAGTTTACATTTACATGTTCTCTGTTCCATAGTGCCGTTTAACGTCTTGTTTGGTCATGGCAAATCTTAATTACATAAACCATTTTAATTTGAGTGAGTGTGAGAAAATATTTGTTTCCTTTCGTTCATCATTTGTATATGGACCCCTCTGATAAAGCCTTGCTCACCCTTTGGCCACCCCTTGAAAAAAAGTCTAGCTCCGCCACTGTCCATGAGCCCATGTATATCTTTATTGCTGCTTTGTTGTTCAACTCTATCCTTTTCAGTTCTTCGATCTACCAAAAGCTTCTGATTGACTTCTTATCGGAGAAGCAGATTCTGTCTTATGAGGCTTGTCTCATTCAGGCATTTGCTTTTTACACTCTAAGCTGTTCAGAGTACTTGCTGTTAGCAGCCATGGCTTTTGACAGGTTTGTGTCGATATGTAAACCTCTGCAATATCACATGATCATGAAAAAAGGAACAGTGAGTGTTTTCCTCGTTCTGGCTTGGTTTGTGCCTGCTTGCCACACCGTTGTGCCCTTTATTGGAAATGCCAATTCCAAGCTCTGCAGCTTCACTTTGAAAGGCATTTCTTGCAACAATTCAGTGAATCAACTTTTCTGCATGGCTTCAAAAGCCTTGTTGACGTACGGCCTTGTTGTTTTTATTCAACGTTGCTGTTTTTCCGATGGTTTTCATACTCTTCACTTACACAGTTATATTTATAGTGGCCTATAGAAGCTGTGGGGAAGTGAGGAAAAAAGCTGCACAGACGTGTTTACCGCACCTGCTGGTTTTAATCAACTACTCCTGTTTGTTTGCTTATGACATGATTATTCTGAGACTGGAATCTGACATTTCAAAGGCTGTATGGTTCGTGATAACAATGTGTGTAATAATGTGCAGTCCTCTTCTTAATCCAGTCATTTACGGGCTGAAAATGAGAGAAATCTATAAACACCTGAGAAGGTTGTTCTCCCAAACGGGGACAAAGTCACTGTTTGTTTTGAGGTTTTGTCATTTTTGTCCTTCTCTTTTTTACCTTACTATATATACATTGATATTACCTGTCTTTAGTGTGATTCTCAGATTCAGCAGTGCTGTGCTCATTATCAATTCATCTTAATAATATTAGTCACTCTGTGTCGAATATTTGTAATAATGAAGAACAATATCTACCTTAATATGAAAGATTTTTTTGAAATCGGTTGTTCATTAAACCTAAAGAAAGCAATTTTTTTTCTTTTTATTTGGCCTTTCATTGTAAATATTTTTTTTAATGGATATATATCAATTATTAATGTATGTCTGTTGTGGTGTTGTACTTAAGAATGTTTTAGGACTAAAATAAATTAAAAGATAAATTCTCAAAGTCTCCCCTGTGTATTTCAAATGTTATTTAAATATTCCTTCATGATATGCTACAAAAAAATTAAAAGACATATGGAACAATTTTACAGTTTTGCGCTCTCCAGGGGGCGCCATTGGTTCGTACGGCCTCCAGGGGACATGGGATTTTTTTTAGGCCCGAGCAGCTAAGCGCTGCGAAGGCCTATTGTTTTCCTATTGTTTATTATTAGGCCCGAGCAGCTAAGCGCTGCGAAGGCCTATTGTTTTCCTATTGTTTATTATTATTATTATTCTTCCACCCAAATGAATTGGCTTTTTGGGGGCTTTATCATATTCAAAAACTCACCAAACTTGGCGGAGGCCTTAAGCCTGTTTAAAATTTACGTATTTTAAAGTCGTAGCAAAAATTGCAACAGAAATGTCTCTACGGCGCCACCTAAAATTGGAAAAACACCCTTTTTTACCCTCTGCTATTCACTTACTTTATCGTAGACACATGAAATTTGGTACACTTGTAGAACTCCCCAAGACGCTCAAAATTTACAATTAATGTCATAGTGCAAGTATCACAGGAAGTCAGCCATTTTTGATTGAAGTTCCCATTTTGACCCCATTTTTGCCGATTTTTGCCGTTTACAGCCTTTGTATTTGATCTATCTCCTCCTAGGGATTTTGATTGATCGACTTCAAACTCGGTCAGTGTTCATAAGGCATGTCCCATCTAAAGTTATCTAAACGGTGAGTTTTTGAGTATGCTGAAGGGGGTTAGCAGGGGTCAAAGTTCACCTACTCGCCATAAAAAAATAAACTGCTATATCTCTTACACTGAAACTCACAGAAGCATCAAAGTTTCTGTGATTGATCATCATCGGGTCTTCTACAATACCCTATGGTCGAATGATGACATCACTTAGGCCACGCCCCCTGAGAACAGGAAGTGTAATGTTTTACTGTGAACTGTCGCTATCTGACCCCTTTGACCTCATCAACATGAAACTGTGCCCAGACACAGAGAACATGTTGGTGTATTGAGGATTCTAACCCCGACCAGCTTCGATGGAGCAGGTGGGCGTGGTGGCGTGGCGAAGTCACCTGTAACGCCATCGCCATACGTTTGGCTCTCAATTCCACATTTTCGGGCCCAGCTGCTGCAAACTCATAAGGATGGACCCCCATCCACTCCCCAACAGGAATCCATCACAATATTTGGTGGGCGTAGCCTAATTTCTCTATAGCGCCCCCTAGAAAACTTTAAATGATCAGCCCCAAGCCATGCTTTAACCTACAAATACGAAACTTTGTACACATGTGTACCTTGTCAGGACGTACAAAAAAGTCTCTTGGAGCCATGGTCTAAACCCCACAGGAAGTCAGCCATTTTGGATTCAAGTTCGGTTTTTGACCCCATTTTTGCAGTTTACAGCCTTCATATTTGATCTATCTCCTCCTAGGGATTTCGATTGATCGGCTTCAAACTCGGTCAGTCTGTTCATAAGGCATGTCTCATCTAAAGTTATCTAAACGGTGAGTTTTTGAGTATGCTGAAGGGGGGTTAGCAGGGGTCAAAGTTCACCTACTCGCCATAAAAACATAAACTGCTATATCTCCTACACAGAAACTCACAGAGGCACCAAAGTTTCTGTGATTGATCATCATCGGGTCTCCTACATTACCCTATGGTCGAATGATGACATCACTTAGGCCACGCCCCCTGAGAACAGGAAGTGTAATGTTTTACTGTGAACGTTCGCTATCCGACCCCTTTGACGTCATCAACATGAAACTGTGCCAAGACACAGAAAACATGTTGGTGTATTGAGGATTCCAACCCCGACCAGCTTCGATGGAGCAGATGGGCGTGGCGGCGTGGCGAAGTGACCTGTAACGCCATCGCCATACGTTTGGCTCTCAATACCACATTTTCGGGCTCAGCTGCTGCAAACTCACAAGGATGAATATTTATCCACTCCCCGACTGGAATCCATCACAATATTTGTAGGGCGTGGCCTAATTTCTCTATAGCGCCCCCTAGAAAACAGCAGCCCATAGGTTATGTTGTTATTAATTATTTAAATATACATTATTATAACTTTTTATATATATATAAGTTTATTTTTGGGTTAAAGTACAAACATTCATTTATTTTTGCTAGAAATAATACAAACAAAGTCATTCAGCAAAACTTATGACACAGCGAAGTAAGAACACACTGGGGTCAGTGTTGATGTAGTACCACTGGCACCTTGTGGAGAAATACTGGTACTGCTAGTGCAATACCAGTATTGCGACAGCAGGAGGCAGTGGTACTCCATCAATGAGAAAACAGATCTACGCTACGTAATAACAGTCAGCCGGCGACAGCTGGAGCTGCAAAGTTTTCCTGAACATTTGTTTGCTTTTTGGAGCGACAGAACTGGACTACGCTCAACATTTTGCTTGGATTTTGGAGTTGCAAATACGAACCACGGTTTGGAACAAGAAGGCTCTGTTGGACCGGAGTTGGAGAAGTTTAATGGGCTCTTTGCACCTCAGCTTACACGTTTCGGGAACACGGCTGAAATGTTTTTCCAAGGTAACAATTAATAATGTACATCGATCCGAAACCCCAACAAGTAAGGCAAAGAAAGGTTTTAAGATGTTCGCCTCGTTATACATTCACAGATATGAAGGTGAGTTTTATTTTCTTTAAACTGCTAGCACAAGCCTGCTAGCTTTCTAGTAAAAATCTGCTATTTAATTATCTAAAGATTTCTCAGCCATTCTAACGGACACTGTGCCTTATTTTCAAGCATATTACGTGTGTTTATTGTTAACTGGAGAGGGGGTGGGGGGCAGATTACAGTTCAGACTTTTTGCTTGAAGTATGACGAAGAAAAACGAGCACAGAGCTTACTCTGGTATCGGAGTTCTAGTTCAGCTGACTGTTCAGATTCAGAGTTATTACTTTTAGAAAAATATGGCCGTGTTGCTTAAGATTTCTGTGTTATTTCGTTTTATTACTTTTGCATGCTTGTTGTGAATGGCTCATTAAGACGGTGTTTAGAGCGGTTTGTACGGCGTTAGCTTCAAGTGGTAGCTTTAACTTGTAGCAACGAATATTTACAAGCTGTCTTAATTGAGGATGGCTTGGAAATCCATGAAAACTTAAACAAAGTACATAGTATTGTTTTATTTGTGTCTTAAGTACGACTTTGTCTTTTATAGCAGTCATAGTTTCTGAAAGTGGAAAAAAGAGCCGCATTCGGGTACAGTTGTGACGTCAGCGCGGCAGGTGCAAAGAGCCCATTGCTGTTCGTTTAAACAGTCGTAACTCGCGGTGCGGTGAGTAATTTATTCCTTCCTGCTGGTTCTGGAAGCCGTCATGTTTGGAACAGTTATTCTGAGGAGGATGCTAACCCAATGCCTGAGGCCTGCAACGTTTTTAATGCTAACGAAGCGCTTGACTAATTCAATAAACTGAATAGTGTGTGTGATACATCCAGTTTCATACATTCAGAGTTGTTTGTTATTATGTATAGAAGATGTTTAAAATGTCGTTTGAAAGAGCTCTGAGAAAATGCTAAGTATCTTTTTACAGATCCATTGGGGTTGTAATATTTAGTTGCAGCACTTCCTGTGATTAATACTTAATTAATGGATGGGATTCAGCTTGTGCTATTGTTCTAAAGTGCTGAAAGTTAACTGTGCTCTGTTATTGTGCATTGCCCTTGGTTTATTACTGAACAGTGCGGTTTATTAAACTGATACATCTTAACCTTCACCATTTTCCTGACTAATTTCACGATAACGTTAAAGTTGCACTGCATTTACATCTCAGTTGTAGTTAACATCAAGCATGTGGGTGTGGCTTAGTGTAAAACTTTAACTATTTACCATGAAACATCAACATTAAATGACTTCCAAATGCAAGATCACAGCTGCATCATCACACTTCCTCTGTCTTTCTAGAGAACAGCCCTGAACACATTTCCATGGTCACTTGATGACCTCACTGTAGCCCCGCCCACTTTTAAGAGGCAGTCACATGTTTTTTCTGCTGTATGTTTTACTGTTATTCTATAATTTATATGGGTTTCATCATGTGAATACTGACTAAAAACGATAACATGATGAACTCTATGAATGTTGGCTGCTGACCGAACCGCATTGGGGTGTAGAAATGACGAAATGCATTACTTCGCCATGTGCATATGATCGGCTCTAAATGACACGTGGATCATCGGACTGGCGCCAAATTGAAAACGTATGACCTTTGTTGACCTCTAAAGAGCAAAACAGCATTGAAATGTATTTTGACTCCACTGCGCCCCTACATTAATCCGCCAGCTGTATTTCCTCGCTAAACCAATGAATCTATACCACATTTTTTTGCATCGTGAAGGATAGCCGCCGAACGCATAGATGCGTACCGCCTGGTGGACGGGCGCGGAAACTGCGCAACAACTTCTGTGTTAGCACGTGCGCAGCGTTGATGGAAACTGAGCAACAGCTTCCGCGGTGCGGGCGGAGGCGCTGAAAACTGCGTGAGAGCTTCTGTGGTGGCTGGCGTGAGGCGGCGGTTGCTCGTACCCCGCGGTGGCAATAGGCC